TGGGTGGGGGAACCGCATGCGAACACCCCCACTGGGGCCTTCGGTGGAGCTCCCTATGGGGCCACGAAACGCTGCCCTGGGTGGGGGAACCGCATGCGAACACCCCCACTGGGGCCTTCGGTGGAGCTCCCTATGGGGCCACGAAACGCTGCCCTGGGTGGGGGAACCGCATGCGAACACCCCCACTGGGGCCTTCGGTGGAGCTCCCTATGGGGCTACGAAACGCTGCCCTGGGTGGGGGAACCGCATGCGAACACCCCCACTGGGGCCTTCGGTGGAGCTCCCTATGGGGCCACGAAACGCTGCCCTGGGTGGGGGAACCGCATGCGAACACCCCCACTGGGGCCTTCGGTGGAGCTCCCTATGGGGCTACGAAACGCTGCCCTGGGTGGGGAACCGCATGCGAACACCCCCACTGGGGCCTTCGGTGGAGCTCCCTATGGGGCCACGAAACGCTGCCCTGGGTGGGGGAACCGCATGCGAACACCCCCACTGGGGCCTTCGGTGGAGCTCCCTATGGGGCTACGAAACGCTGCCCTGGGTGGGGGAACCGCATGCGAACACCCCCACTGGGGCCTTCGGTGGAGCTCCCTATGGGGCCACGAAACGCTGCCCTGGGTGGGGGAACCGCATGCGAACACCCCCACTGGGGCCTTCGGTGGAGCTCCCTATGGGGCCACGAAACGCTGCCCTGGGTGGGGGAACCGCATGCGAACACCCCCACTGGGGCCTTCGGTGGAGCTCCCTATGGGGCTACGAAACGCGTGAGAGGTGTGCCGAGAGCAGAGGCAAGGAGGGGGAGGAGGGAGGAGGGGGAGGAGGAGGAAGGAGGAACGCGGGGCACCGTCTCTTCAAAACGAGGACCCAACACCACAGGATGGTTGGGAAAAAACAAGCTTGCGCGCGCGCTCTGGCGAATTCTTAAGACAACCATTGGTTTTTCAGTATTTTCATGACGCGTGCTGGGGGGGGGGGGCGCGATCCGTGTCGAATCAAACCATGCGGGCCACCCTCGCGCGTCGGCCGCGCGCGCATGTCGAACTCTTTCCAAAACATCCATCACCGACGCGAGGACGCCGTCATCGTTGTCGGCGTGGTCGGCATCGGCGCCCGCGCTGGCCGCGCCTTCGTCGGTGCGAACATCGTCGCCAGCATCGCCGCTGTCATCGTCGCGTCTACCGTAGACGACGTTGCCATGATACCGCGCCCGCCCAAATCGCCGACTCGCAGTGAAGTGCCCGCTGGGATGCGCCCAGCGGTCAGCGCCACCGCGGCCGCGTCGGTGGCGCCAAACTAGCTGGCCGCTGCGCGCGCGTGCTAGGGTTGGCGCGGCCGCAGGGATGCACCAGCCAACGCCAAGCATGCATCGCAATCGCCACCGCATGGGTTGTGCAAACCAAGTTGCGGGTAGGTGGGTGGCATGTTTGCGCGAGCAGTGGAGGTGGTCAAGCGCGGTGCAGGGTAGTCAATAGCACCGCGTCGATTGCATTACGTAGAATGCATCACATACACTGCACCACATAGTTCCTCCTCTCCCAAAAAGAATTAGGATTCCCCCTCGGGGTTATCGGTCCACCTTTTCGTATTGCAATTTGCATATGATTCCGCCCCATTGTCCATCCTAAATGTGAACTCGTACCATCTCAGCCGGGCCGGTATCGACCTCCCCCGCCATCCTCTGCAACAAACTACCATGCGCGCATTTGTTTATCACAAATCAGCATCTTTCAATAACCCCTTGCAGAAAGTGACACGAAGTGCACACGCGCGTCGTCGCGCGTGCATGCCGCAATCCTTTAGAAACCGTCGGTTTCGGACGGATTTTCAAGGCGAGTTTCAAAACAACTAATGAAACATATGGTTTTACAACACGGACTGTCAAACAGAAAACACGTGTGCGCGCGCTCGTGCGAATTCTGAAGAAAACCATCGGTGTTTCAACATTTTCAGAACATGCTACCAAACGGCCTTCGCGCGCACATGTCGAAATCGTTCGAACGCCCTTGCGCGCGTGCCGTCGCGACAGTCCTCTGCATAAGATATGACGAAGTGCACGCGTGCGCGTCGTCGCGCGCGCATGCCGACATCCTTCAAAAACCTTCGGCTTCATAGCGATTCCAAAACCGAATGCCGAAAAGCATTCAAAAACACATGGTTTCCCAACATCCGGTTTCAAAAGAAGCTTGCGCGCGCGCCCTTGCGAATGCTTAAGAAAACCATAGGGTTCTCAACAATTTCATGGAATTCTACATGCTTCGCGTATCCCACCCAGCCCATTCAGAAAACGTGCCCATCAGAGCTGACGGGAAAAACGGACGAAGAGACACATCTAGGGAAACAGAGCGAGCAAGGGGGTGGCCTTGGAAGGCCTCTTCGGGCCATTCCTGGGTGCCGCGTGGGGGCGAGGAGAAGAGGAGGAGGAGGAGGAGGAGGAGGAGGAGGAGGAGGAGGAGGAGGAGGAGGAGGAGGAGGAGGAGGAGGAGTAGGAGGATGAGGACGAGGAGGACGAGGAGGACGAGGACGCGGATGAGGACGAGGACGAGGAGGACGAGGACTAGGATGAGGGCGACGCGGACGAGGACTCGTGGAACCATCTAGAGGTATGCTGCTGCTGCTGGTGCTCTCTGGGAGTTTTTTAGGGCTCTCTTGGAACCCTCTGGGTAACCCTGGAAGGCTTCTTGGGATCATCTTGGAGTCCATCGATTACAGGATGGGGAGGTCCCCAACTCAGCTCTCCCCTCGGGAGCCGGCAAACCGCTTCTTGGGGCTCTCTCGGAGCGCTCTTATGCGCTCTTGGAGCGGTCGTGGGGCCGTTTGGAGCATCTTGGGAGCCATCTTGAGCCAGCTTGGGCTATCTGAGCCATCTTGGAGGTCATCTTGGGCTCTCTGAGGCCGCTCGGGGGCCTTTTGGAGGCCTCTCGGGTGCCTCCTGGGGCCCTCTTGGGACTTCTTGGGGCCCTCTTGGGGCTCCCTTGGGGCTTTCTTGGCAGCCGTGGAGCGCCGCTTGGGGCCATTTTCCAGGCGATCGATCAAAGGAGGGAGGGTCCAGATCGAGGCCCCCTCCTCGGGGGCCACGATCCTCGTGAGGGGTGTCAAACATCGGCCCTCCCATTGGCCGAACAAGAGATCGCAGCCCCTCCCGTCCAGGTCCAGGGGAGGGGGTAGGGGGAGGGGTAACCCCCCTCCCCGAAGGGGAAGAGGGGTTTTTGGAAGAGGAAAGGAAGACATCGTTAGACCACCTGCGCCCAGAGGGCTGGTGGGGTTCTGCCAAACGGGCCTCTGGCGCTGGATACCGACATCATTCGCACGCCCTTGCGCGCGTGCTGGGGGGGCACGATCCGTGTCAAATAAGACCATGCGGGCCACTCTCGCGCGTCGGCCGCGCGCGCATGTCGAACTCTGTCCAAAACCTCGACCGACGCGAGGGCGCCGTCATCGTCGTCGGCGTGATCAGCATGGGCGCCCGCGCTGGCCGCGCCGTCGTCGGTGCGAACATCGTCGCCAGCATCGCCACTATCATCATCGCGTCTACCGTAGACGGCGTTGCCATGATACCGCGCCCGCCGAAGTCGCCGACTCGCAGTGAAGTGCCCGCTGGGATGCGCCCAGCGGTCAGCGCCACCGCGGCCGCGTCGGTGGCGCCAAACTAGCTGGCCGCTGCGCGCGCGTGCTAGGGTTGGCGCGGCCGCAGAGATGCACCAGTCCACGCCAAGCATGCATCGCAATCGCCACCGCATGCGTTTTGCAAACCAAGTTGCGGGTGGGTGGGTGGGATGTTTGCAAGAGCATGGGATGTGTCAACCCATGGGTAAACATAGCTTGCACCGCGTAGTCTGCAATAACTTACTGTTTGGGGTCCACGCTGGCTAACATTATTGTTTGATTTTTGTATGTCGTACCAAAGCCTTCACACCAGCAGGGCTCCAAGGCACTAAGCCAGCGACCTCGCGCCCTCACAGAACGTACACGCGCTTTCCGTCCCCGTGCCAGGCATGCCTAATGGCTTTCGGTCCATCTCGCCACCGTGCTTGGGTTGTGGATATGAAGCCTAGTGGATGTTCGTTGGGATCTCGTGGGAGGCCTCTCGGGGGCCTCGTGGAGGCAGTTTGGAGGCCTCCTCGGGGCCGTTTCGGGGCCTCTTGGGGCCTCTTGGGAGCCTCTTGGTGGCCTCTTGGGGCCTCCTGGGCGCCTCTTGGGGCCTCCTGGGGGACTCTTGGGGCGGACGGCTCGGATTTTCGGTTCATGTTCTCTCTCTTGGGCCCCTTTTGGTGCCGTCTTGGGGCCCTCTTGGGCCGGTTTGGGTCCCTCTTGCAGGCCTCTTTGGGCAGTCTTGGGGCGGTCTTGGGGGCCTTTCAGGCCGTCTGGGAGCGTCCGGAAGCCGAAACGGCAAGAACGCCAAAATCCTATAGGAAAATCGAGGATTTTGGCATTGGGGGGTCCTCTTGGGAGGCCTCTTACGCGGGAGGCCCGAGGGGGCACGTGGGAATTCCCAGGAGAGTGAGGCTTAGAGGATCAGGCAACGGACTTGAGGACACGCCCACTCCGTGCCCAGCGGCACGGTGGCGGACTAGGAACATGGGGAGGAGGAGGAGGAGGAGGAGGAGGAGGAGGAGGAGGAGGAGGAGGAGGAAGAGGAGGAGGAGGAGGAGGAACAGGAGGAGGTGGTGGAGGAGCAGGAGGAGGGGGGAGGAGGAGGAGGAGAAGGAGGATTTCACGATTTTTTCTGCCTCTGGGGCCCGTCACCAGGCCCCGGGGCAATCAAGCACGGATCCAGGGCGAGCAACCTGCCACGGGCAAGGGTCGGGACCTTCTTGGGGCTGCGCACGTACAAGCAGCACGTCGCCGGCTGTCTAGGATGCACCCTTCTTTTCCTTCTTCTCCTCCTCATCTTCCTCCTCCTCCTTTCTCCCTTTCTCCCTTGTCCTCTTGCTCCTCTTCGTGTCGCCCCCCCGTCGGTCTCCCTCTCCTCCGGGGTCGCCCCTCCTGAGGGGACGCACCATCCCAACCACCCGACGAGCTTTCTTCGCCGCGGCCATCTTGGCTCAAGGTTCCGGGGGGCAGGCGTCGTTAGCGGCCCTCACCCGGGCCGCCCTCGCCTTGACTCCGGGGCCCGCCATGGCGGAGCCGGCCGGCCTCCCGCTGGCTCCCACCACCGTCGGCTCCCAGTCGCAGGCGCAGGAGTTCGACGACGAAGACGACGTCGGGGATTTCTCCAAGTACGACGAGAGCATGGTGCGGCATCGTTCCGAAGCCAGTTGGCGTTCCGAAACCAAGTCTTCGTTCAGCTCGACGGCAACGCTGGGCTCCGCGAGCGCGTTTCTCAGCAAGATTCGTCGAAGTGAATCGATGGAACAGCGCTTTGAAAGTGACACCCACCTGAGGGTGCTAGACGCGGAACTCCTGCGTGGCATCAGTGCGCACCACATTTTGCGCAGGTCTCACGTGCTGGCCTCCAATGCCGACGGCGGTCATGCTTTTGCACTCTCGAAGCCTGTGGACTGGTTGAACATCTTCATCTCCCACACATGGTTGGGCGTGGGATGGGTGACCAGGGTTAACTTTAGGAGGATAGGCTCTGGGGGGGACGCATCGACTCCCAAATGCCTATTCATCGCCGATAGAGGCCCGATAGCCTGGCCCGCCCAGGAGCGTGCGGATTCTCTACTGGGGGCCCGTCGTCGATCTATCGGCGATGTGTCGCCGATTCCAGGTCGATGCTTCCCCCCTGAGACGGTCCCTCTCAAAAATTACGTTCCCCCTCAGGTGAAGAGGCTCGGCATTGCATACTGTCTGAACGTGCGGCGCGCGGTGGTGGTGGCCGTCGTCACGGACTGTCTAGTGCATGCGTTGGATTGGGGTGGTATCTCCATCATTCCTGCGCCGTTCATGCGGGACTGCGTAATCTTTGACGGCGCAGAGGTGCTGAGCGTGAGATTGCAAATGGAATGTGTATTGTCGTCCTTGGTGTTCGTTATCCGGCTGCCTGCGGCAGTCCCGCCACAGAGCAAACTGATCATTGTCGGTTGCGATTGTTCGAGGGGCACGGGAGGCCCTACCCTGCGATGTCTCGTGTCCTGAGGCTTGGGAGAGCCATGACATTTGAGGTACTGTTCCGATTCGTGTTGGCGATGGCGAGGACGACGATGTTGATGACGACGGCGATGATGGTGATGATGCTGATGATGATTATGGTCATGGTGATGGTGATGATGATGATGATGCTGATATGGTGATGATGATGGTGATGGTGATGATTATGATGGCGGTGATGATAATGACGGTCACGCTTGTGATGGTGTTGACGGTGATGACGACGACGGTGACGATTGTGATGGTGTTGACGACGACGATTATTCCGATGTTGATGATGCTGATGTTGATGCTGGTGCTGATGTTGTGACGATGACGATGATGACGGTGATGATGCAGTTGGGGATGATGAGCATGACCGGCGGGGAGGTGACGGAGTGGGACAATGATGATTCAGGCTGGCGAAGGAGACGATGGATATACTGGTAGCATCATGATGATGAGGATGATAGCAGGTATGATTATGATGGTGGTGGTGATGATGATGTTGCTGATCGCGATGCCGGTGATCATTATGTTGGTAATGGTGGTGATGGTGGTGGTGATGATGATGATGTGGACGACGACGGCGACGATGATGATGAGGATGTCGATTAAGATGTCGACAACCATGACGACAACGATGCTGATGCCGCTGATGATGATGAGGCTGATGCCGCCGATGATGATGATGATGATGATGATGATGATGATGATGGTGGTGGTGATGATGCTGATACTGATGCTGATGCTGATGATGCTGCTGATGATGACTATGATGATGAGGATGATGATGACGATAATGAGCATGCTGATGATGATGATGATGATGATGATGATGATGATGATGATGATGATGATGATGCAGTTGACGATAAGGGTGATGATGGTGACGATGCTGACGATGATGACGGCGACGATTATTATGACAGTGATGATGGTGTTGTGGTCATCGACGATGCTGATGCTGCTGATGATGCTGATGGTGATGAGGAAGAAGGAGACGATGCTAATGATGATGATGATGATGATGATGATGATGATGATGATGATGACGATGATGATGATGATGATGATGGTGATGGTGGTGGTGATACTGATTATGACGATGATGACCATGATGCTGACCATGCTGATGATGATGCTGATGGTGATGATGATGATGCTGATGATGATGATGATAATGAGGCTGATGCTGTCGATAATGATGGTGGTGGTGATGATGAGGAGGCTGATTCTGATGATGATGCTGCTGCTGATGACGACTATGATGGTGACCATGATGATTATGATGCTGCTGCTCATGATGATACTGCTGATGCTGATGATGATGCTGATGCTGATGACGATGCTGCTGCTGATGATGCTGATGATGACCTGATGCTGCTGCTCATGATGCTGCTGTTGATGATGCTGCTGATTATGATGCTGCTGCTGCTGATGATGATGATGATGATGATGATGATGATGATGCTGCTGCTGCTGATAGTGATGCTGCTGCTGCTGATGTTGATTATGATGCTGATCATGATGCTGATGCTGATGATGCTGATGATGATGACGATGATGATGATGACGATACTGAAAATGATGACGATGATGATGATGCTGATGGTGATGATGATGATGAGGAGGAGGAGGACGAGGAGGAGGAGGAGGAGGATGAGGATGGTGAGGACGAGGAGGAGGAGAAGGAGGAGGACGAGGAAGAGGAGGAGGAGGAGGAGGAGGAGGAGGAGGAGGAGGAGAGAGGAGGAGGAGGAGGAGGAGGAGGAGGAGGAGGAGGAGGAGAGAAGGAGGAGGAGGAGAAGGAGGAGGAGAGGAGGAGGAGGAGGAGAGGAGGAGGAGGGGCAGGAGGAGAGGAGAGGAGGAGAAGGAGGAGGAGGAGGAGGGGGAGGAGGAGTAATGTCGTCACATGCGAAACGGGGCTTGTAAGGCGCATCCTTGGGGCCTCTTTGGGGGCTCTTGCGGCCTCGCGTGGGCATCTTCGGTGGACCCCAGCCACCGCGCAAGGAGCTGGCCGCCACCCAAGCAGGGGGTGCGCGCCCTCGCGTGGCCCCTCGGCGCGCGGGCCCGCGCGTTGTTTCTTACCGCAGGAAGACTGCTCCCCCCCCTTTGCCAGCAACCCCTCCAAGCAACACGCCCTGCTGCGCGGTCTTCGCCGATCTGGCCGCCCCCCCCAAGCCGGGCAACCGTCCGGCCGGGCAGGGAGGGGCCGCAGCCGCGCTGCCCGAGTCGACGCGGGGATTGCCAGGCGGTGCGCTCGGCGGGGACGAACGAGGCGAGCTTCCCAGCGCGCTCCTTGGAGGCTCATGGGGGCTCCCTGGGCCGTCTGAAGGCTTAGCGCTTTGGGAGTCCGTAGTGGGGGTCTCTCTGTGACGTCTCGGGGTACTCTTGGTCTTTTTAGGGTCGCCTTGGGGCCCCCCGAGGCCGCCTTGGGACCGTGCTTGGGCCCTCTTGGGCAATCTTGAGGCCGTCTCGGCGGCCTCTTGGGCTTTCTTGAGGCTTCTTCGGCCGTCTTGTGGCCATCCTCGACGCTTCTTGGGCCGTCTTGAGCTGACGGAAGCCCGAAAAGGTGAGAATGCGAACATCCATCAAACATTTCTTAGGGTATTCAATGATTCGGCCTCTTCGGGCCCTCGTTGTGGTTGTCCTGGGGCCCTCTTGGGCCGTCTTGGGAGCCTCTTGGGCTGTTTTGAGGCCATCTTGGGCCGTGTTGCGGTCATCGTGGGCCGTCATGGAGGCATCTTGGGCAATCTTGGCGGCCCTAGCGTGCCTAGTCCGTCTTGGAAACCATCTTGGGCAATATGGACGTCTCGGAGGAGTGGGGAGGGGTGCGGCCCTTAGAATATTACAGAAAACCTACCAGACACGCGGGCATTCTAATGCGCTGCAGCGTTCCAGGGGGCACGTTGGCGGATTGTTCTTTTGTGGGGACAGGAGTTGCCGATCAATCGAACAGTTTGTTTCCTGGACAAGTGCTGCATTCACCAGACGGACCCACTCCTGAAACTTACTGGAATAAGGCAGCTCGGAGCGGTTCTGCGGTATTCTGAGTACATGATGATACTTTTGCAGCCGCAGTACTTCCGAAGAGCATGGTGCGTGTACGAGTTGGCAGCGTTCTTATACATGAACAACGGCAATCACCATCGGGTGTGGCTACAACCCCTGAAATTGACGCTGCTCACTGTGGCAGTGTTTGGCATCAGTTGCTCGGCAGCCGTGGCCGCAATACTGCTCTTGCCATGGACTGTCTTCAGCCCATGGCATGTCAAGCTGGCTGCGCAAACCGTGCCCGGGTACTTACAGTATGCGTATTTGGTCGGAGTGCTGTTTCTATTTCATTTTTGCGTTTATATCTTCCCATCGAGATTGTTCTGGAGAAGCTGCAAAGGGCACATGCATGACCGGCAGAGAATTCTTCAGCAAGTCAGAACGTTTTCGCTGAGTCAAGCTAGTTGTTTCGATGACGGTGACCTGGAGTTCATACAGAGCCAGATCGGGCTGTGGTTCGCCGACGTGGCCACATTTGAGAAATACGTGCGGCACGATGTCGCCGCGCGTGTCAAGCGACTGCTGCGTGAGCAGGGGCCGATGCCTTACCGAATGGTGATTGGAAGCTCCATGTGCCACCTGTTTTTCAGCACGTCCTTGGCCTTCTCGGCCTGGCGGGGTGGCGACATGAACATGCTCTGGCGCTCGTTCTGCGCGGGCTTCGGGACAACCCTCTGTGGTGTTCCCATCGCCGTCAACCTGGTCTTGAGGCTGGTGGATGCCGGGCTGGCACACCACACTGCCGGGCAGTCCTTCTTCCACCGCGGGTTCCTTGGCCCGCTCGTGACGGCGACCGTGCTCGCCGCGTGCACCTCCGTCCCCATGGGCATGCTGACGCCGGCGTGCCCCCTGTGGCTCTGCGCCGCCCTGTGCCTCCTGGGGGCCGCCTGCGTGTGCCGCCTCTTCCACCTGCGGCCGAGCTGCCGCGCGGCGGCCCCGCGCAGGCCGGGCGGCCTCTGCCGGCCGCGCGGCCCGAGCGCGCGCGGCGCGGCGGCCCTGGCAGAGAGGCCGAGCCCCGCTGGCGGCCCGAGCTGCAGCCCCGCGACGGAGGAGGAGGCGCCGGACGCCGTGCCCGAGCGCGCCGCGTCCGAGCGGCGGCTATCCGCCGCGTCGGAGTCCAGCGCGGAGGTGCTGTGCATCTGAGGGGGCTGCCCCGACGGCCTGCAGGCAGCGTGCGACCTGCCGGCTTCGGTCGGTCCACTCGGCCCGAGCGTGTCACCTGTTGGCTCACGCTGGGCAAGCAGGCCCAAGCGTGTTAATTACCTGTACGACCACCCGTCGGGTGCTAAGGAGGTTGTGTGTGGGGGGGAGGGGGGGAATCAACAAACCGATTCAATTTATCTCACTATCGATCTCACTGAACGGGACACCACGGGACACCAGGGGACACCATGGGACACCACGGGACATTTGTCGATCTCACTATCGATCTGACACAACGGGACACCACGTGACACCACGGGCCACCACGGGACACCGCGGGACACCTCGATCTCATTATCGGTCTCACTATCGATCTTACCATCGATCTCAGTGTCGATCTCACTATCGATCTCACTCAATGGGACACCACGGGACACCACGGGACACCACGGGGCACCTGTCGATCTCACTATCGATTTCACTATCGATCTCACTTTTTGGGACACCACGGGACACCACTGGACACCTCGGGGCACCACATCGGTCTCAGTATCGATCTCACTATCGATCTCACCATCGATCTCACTCAACGGGACACCACGCGACACCACGGGACACCTGTGGATCTCACCATCGATATCTCACTTTTTGGAACACCACAGGACACCACGGGACACCTCTGGGCACCACATCGATCTCAGTATCGTTCGCACTTTCGATCTGCTATCGATCTCACTCAATAGGACACCACGGGACACCACGGGACACCACGGGACACCTGCGGATCTCACTATCGATCTCACTATCGATCTCACTTTTTGGGACACCACGGGAGACCACGGGACACCTCGGTGCACCACATCGGTCTCAGTATCGATCTCAGTATCGATCTCACTATCGATCTCACTATCGATTTCACTATCGATCTCACTCAACGGGGCACCACGGGACACCGCGGGCCACCGCGGGACACTGCGGGACACCACGAGCCACCGCCGGACGGACGGACGGATGGGCGGGAGGGGGATAATCATTTGTCTTGACTTCGCCCTAGCAGCGACGGACACCACAGGACACCACGGGACACCACGGGACACCGCGGGACACCACGGGACACCACGGGACACGGGACATCGCGAGCCACCGCCGGACGGGCGGGAGGGGGAGAATCATTTGTCTTAACTTCGCCCTAGCAACGGCGGACACTCAGGACACCACGGGACGCCACGGGACACCGCGGGACACCAAAGGGCCACCGCCGGACGGGCGGGAGGGGGAGAATCATTTGTCTTGACTTCGCCCTAGCAACGGCGGACACCACAGGACACCACGGGACACCACAGGACACCGCGGGACACCAAAGGGCCACCGCTGGACGGACGGACGGACGGGGGAGAATCATTTGTCTTGACTTCGCCCTAGCAACGGCAGGTTCATTCCTCTCTCGCGCCCACGCAGCTTCGCCTCGCCCGTACGCACGACACGAACGAAACGAAACAATTTCCCTGTTGGGGGTCTCCGTTCCACGGGCCAGGGAACCGAGGGACGAAGACTGGGGACCCCGAAAAAGGAAGGAAAAGAACAAGACCATGCAACCGAGGAAGGACATGGGGAACCCATTCACACACCCACAGACAAACAGACAAACACACACACGCACACACAGACATACAGAGACACACAGACGCACACAGAGACCCACAGAGACCCACAGAGACACACAGAGACACACAGAGACACATAGAGACACACACACACAGACACACACACAGACACGCAGAGACACACACGCAGACACACTCAGAGACACACATAGACACACACAGACACACACAGAGACACACACAGACGCACACACGCAGACACACGCACAATGACGCACACAGACACACACAGACACACACACAGACACACAGACACACAGAGACACACACAGACACACATACAGACACACACATAGACACACAGACACACATATACACACACAGACACACACACACTCAGGCACACACACAGACACACACAGACACAGAGATACACACAGAGGCACACTCAGAGACACACACAGCGACACCTACAGAGACACACACAGAGGCACGCCCAGATATACACATAGACACACACAGACACATACATAGAGACGCACACAGAGGCGCGCATAGAGACACACACAGATACTCACAGAGAGACACACACAGACACACACACAGACACACACAGACACACACAGGCACACACAGACACACAGACACACACAGACACACACAGACACACACACACGGACACACACACACATATAAACACAGACACACACACAGACACAGACAAACACGCACAGACACACACAGACACACACACAGAGACACACAGAGACACACAGACACACACAGACGCACACAGACACACACACACAGACGCACACAGACACACGCACACACACAAACGCACACAGACACACACACACACACATAGTCACACACAGACACACGGAGACACAAAGACACACAGACACACAGAGACACACACATGCACACACAGACACACAGACACACAAGCATACACATACACACAGACACAAGCAGACATACACAGACACACACACATATATATAATATACATACACACAGACACACACAGTCACACACAGACGCACACAAGCACACAGACACAAACACATGTTCACTCACAGACACACAGTGACACACAAAGACACACGCAGAGACACACAGAGATACACACACAGGCACACACAGGCACACATAGACACACACACAGACACGCACAGACACACTGACACACAGACACACACAGACACACACTGACGCACAGACACACATAGATACACATAGACACACACACAGACACACATACAGACACAGGCACAGACACAGAGACACACACACAGACACACACACATACATACGCAGACGCACACAGACACACACATACACACACAGACACACACACAGACACACACAGAGGCACACTCAGAGGCACACACACAGACACACACAGACACAAACAGACACACACAGACCCACAAGCACACACAGGCACACCCAGACACACACACAGACACACACACACAGACGCACACATATATACACAGACACACACACAGACACACAAACACACAGACACACACAGACACACACACAGACACACACACAGACACACACACAGACACAGACACACACAGACACACACAGACACACACACATACACACAGACACACACAGACACACACAGACACACACAGACACACACAGACACACACTCAAACACATACAGACACACACACACAGACGCACACAGACACACACACACAGACACACACACAGACACACACACACAGACACACACACACACAAACACACACAAACACAGACACAGACACACACACACAGCCGTAGCCATTTTGGCTCAAACCTGCCTTGTGCAGGAGGTGCGCGGCGTGTCTCGCCCTGTAGAGTCCCGTCGCCTCAGCGGGCACAGAGAGCGGCTCTGTCCCTTTCCGTTCGTTGTCGCGGCCCCTGCGATGGCGGCGGTGCGCGACGACAGCAAGGTGATGGATCTACGGTCCAACGGCGGCGCGGGGCTGGTCATGGCGATGGCCGTCCAGGGCGCTGCTCAGGGAGCGGCGGCGGGCGTTGCCTCGCTGCAGGCGATCGCCGCCGCGGTTACTGCCGCACTGCGCACGGCATGTGCGCTGCTGGCAGGCGTCGGCTCCGAGGAGGACGCCGAGTTTCGCAATGCGCTGGCAGGCCATGGAGCCCGCCATGCGCCAGCAGCAGCGGGGCGCCCAGCAAGGTGGCGCCGCTCGCGCCAGGCGCAATGTCGGTTCGCGCGTCGACCTCGGCAAGGGCGTCGGGGCCTTGCGGCATGCCTTGGCGCAGCCTCAGCGGGCCCAGCGCGGCGAGCGCTGCGGGCCCCGCGTGCCAGCGCCGCCGGGCCCGGAGGAGGCGGACGTCGGCGACGCGCTTTCGTCCCCGCCCGCGAGGCCCGTGGCGGCGGCCTTGGGCGCGACGGAGGCCCCGAGCTCCTCCGACGGCGCGGCGCTGGGCCCCGCCCCGCCTTCCCCGCTCATGGGGCCGAGCGCGGCGGTGGGGCGTCGAAAGCCCCGTCGACGACCACGCCGACGGCGTCAAGCTGGAGGGCAACACCAGCCTGGACATCGGCCTGGACATCGGCCAGCCAGACGTGGACGAGCGCGAGGGCACCGACCAGGTTATCTCGACCCCCTCGAGGACCAGGAGAGCGACAAGGCGGACGAGCGCCTCCTCGGGGGCGGCAGCCTGGGCACCTCGGAGGTGGGCACGGCCAAGCGCAACGGCTGCCAGGACGTGTGCGGCGCCGAGGTGCAGGCGACCGAGGGCCCCGTGGAGGTGCCCCCCTCTTCGAGGACGTGATGCGCTGCCAGACCTTCGCCGAGTCGCGTGGGGCCGCCGCCGCCGCCGAGCGCCGCCGAGGGCGGCGAGCGCGTGCGTGGCAGCCCGTGGCAAGGGCGCAGCTGCGCCGCGGACGTGGGCGCGCGCCAGCAGCGCGGACTGGCGCCTCGTGCACCCGCGGGGGCGGCCCTCCCGAGGTGGCGCTTCGACCTCGCGCAGGCGGCGCGGCTCGCCGAGCCCGTGGTGCCGCCGCGCTTCGCTTCGGACCCTCGCTGGTGGAAGCAGGACGTCGACGAGGTGAGCGCGAAGGTTCACGGGGGCCCCGTGGCGAAGGACCGCCTCAGCAGCGCGGACGTGGGCGAGAGGAAGGTCGAGGGCCTGGCTCAAGCACTGCGCTCCTGGTCAGGTCCACGGGTATAGGGCTCGAGCCTCTTCGGCAATCCTCCCCTCCGTGCCTCTCTCGCTCTCTCCAACGCCGCGGCTGTCGCCGTGTCGCCCGAAGTGATGGTCTGGGTCACGAATGCAGAGCTCGACGCACGCGTGGTCGGCGTCGAGAATATGTTGGCAGCGCTCCAACGAGGTATCGCCGCCTGGCGTGGTGGCCTGCGCCGCCGCCGAACATCTTGCCCTGGCGCCAGCAACCTGGGCGCGGACGCCTCCGACGTCGCTGGGAGCCTCGCCGCAGGCGCCAACTGCGTCACAGGGGGCATCGCTTCCAGGGGGGCCGTTGGGGAGGAGCTGGAGGCCGGGATCGATGACCAC